TATGAGATGAGGCTCCAGAATCTAGTACCCAGGGTTTGTGAGAAGAAGCTATGTAAGCATCCATACCTGAAGAGGATGCATGAGTAGCCGAATGACTGTTCTGAGAAATCTCTAGCTGGCGTAACCTCTCATAATCTGCCTGAGAAATCTGAACAGTAGGAACAGTAGTAGCTGGATTACTAGAAATAGTAGTAGAAATAGGTGAGCGAGTCGACTCGGCATCGGCTACTTGGGCCCATTGAGGACGACCAAACTTCTCCCAGCATTTCTCAGAAATATGATTGATCCTCCCACAATGACCACACTGACGTGAACCCCTATCAGAATCACCCTGTCTCCCACTAAAAGAGCCACGTCCTCCCAAAGAATCACGACCACGACCACGACCACGACCGCAGCCTCTGCCTTTACTAGAGAACATGGCAGACTGATCCACTGAAGGTGGAGACGGTGCAGAAGTATCAGAAGAAACACCAGTAGAGACCTGCATGACTCTGGAGAATGTAGCAGTCAGTGAGGGGATGATATCTCCACCCAATATCTGTCCTCTCACCTGGGACTGCAAGTTAGGGTGCAATCCAGAAAGAAACTTGGACACTGCCAAGTCACGGCGATATCCCAACAGCATCGCCGCATCAGCTACTGCAGGCTGATGCATCTCCAGTTCGTCTATCAGTCCCTTTAACTCACCAAAGAACTCCGGAACTGACCTATCTCCCTGTTTGAGCGTAAACAGTCGCTCATAAATCTCAAATATACGGGAAGCATTCTTTTCATTTCCGTACATAATCTTCAGGCTGTCCCACATCTCCTTCGCAGTGGTTAAGAACATAACACTGCTACTAATCTGTGGTTCCGTGCTGTTGAGGAGCCACGTCATAACACAATAATCAGACGAGAGCCAGGAACTGTAGGTGGGATCTGTGGTGGGTGGAGGAGAGACCAGAAGATGTGGAAGTTTGCTCTGAGCGTCAATGAAGATGCGGAAAGCCTGAGCCCAGAACAGATAGTTTGTACCATTCAATTTTATTATAGTCCCCAAGACTACCTTGGGCGCAGAAGTCTGACCAGCA